CATCTATGTTCATGTAAACAGCACTCACGTGCTGCTGTTGTGGGGTCACTTGTCTCGGTTTACGCGATCGGGGTCTTCTATGTTGTCCGATCCTCTATCCTCGAATGTGTGATACATGCGGTTGGCTGATCGCTTTGAATGAGTCTGATTTGACCCACTGTTCTGTTCACACGCGCACACGCCGTGACGGTGAGACACACAGTTGGTGTAAATTCAGTCTGACTTCTGAGTCGCTGCGACCTACTCGAGTTAGTTTCTGTCTTCTTCTCTATTATGTATCAAGGATTTCTCACCCTCTTGATCCGTGGTAACGCTAACTAGAAGAGAGTGGTTCACTGATGCACATTAACCAAATCACTTCCACGTGCTTCGATTTTTCCCAACCTGCTAGTCGTCAGAGCTCGTTGAGTAACGCCTGAGAAAGTTCTTTAGGTCAGAAACAAAGCACCATTCCGGGAGAGGGGAGGGAATTGTTGGCTTCACACGGTCTATCCAGTCTAATGGGTTTCGGGACTTGAACCCCGATCGTTCTGCTTGCTGCTATTCGACCAGCAAACCCGTTTCTATTCTTCTGGGGGCAAATCAGACGAACGGTTCACGTGACGTGTTGACGACCCTTTTCAACAATACTTTAAAAAAAGTTTATTGCGCCTGGTTCCTTCTAGAGGATAAGCCGGCTCCAGACATGATCGTGAACGTGGAGTTACTTGGGAGTTTGGTACGAGAGACGTCCCCAGCGTCACTCGGTATTTTTAAATTTTATTTTCAGGGTGCACCTCGAGCCTTTGCACAACCAAGTGCGAAATGCGAGGCAGAACAGGAAGTAATCCTTCGCTTCGGAAGTGAGTGGGTCGGTGAATTCGGTTTTAAAAAGCCAATCACATCGACCTTTGTCACGATACCATCATTGGGCTTATGCGGCTTGCACAAATAGAGTAAGGAATAGTTGTCACTGTTTGNATAATCATAACAGGATGTTTTACTGTCAACTATCGGGCACACCACAAAATGTCGTGGTGTTTGGACAATGGACGACAACAATGGTCAAGTTGGACGCATGTATCTCCCATTCGCTCTGTCATGTACAGAGAGAGAGAGAGAGAGTATCGTTGGGAGCACTTTTATTCGTTCGTTCAGCATACACTCCCTGGTTGCATCATGTCGAACGAGAACAATTATGTGACGCGGCAACTATTCTGATCGGGGGCACAGACCTCTCCGAGACTGATGGACAGTTCTGTTGTTGGTGTTGCTGGTGAACCTTCCACCATTTTCCCTGTGTGTGTGTGTGTGTGTGTGTGGCCTGATAGCTGTCAGCTCGATGCGACAACCCAAATAGCATGTTTTACTTCGTTACTCTCATCGGGCGTTCACGGGAGACGGGTATTCCTGATTCGCATGTGATACTACAGGAGGAACGTTTGATCCCGGGTTTTCGCTCCACTGTCCAAACGACATCGTGCAATGTTTGGTGGCCTTTATTCCCCCACAATTTCGGATATTGTGCTTTGATCTTAGAATTTCACGAATGCATTTTTCGTTTATATGGTAAATGAAGCTTGAGCGGAAAAGCTACGAAGTACCAGTAGACAGCTGTTTCGAT